ACTCGTCAAGCTATCTAGAAAAACACTACTATATATTGTCAACACTAACTAATATTTATGGGGTAATAGTCTTGCACTAACATTCCACAAAGATACCACCTTAGTTAGAATCGCAAACAAAATTGGTTTAGGATTACAGCTACTGTATTGTATCTTAAAAACTGCAGGCTCATAAGATGTTTTTGGTTGATTTCGACTAGCTCGCCATCTGGCCTTGTCATTAACCTTTATCAGTATATGTCATGGCAACCACTGTCAAACTGACTGAAATATAAATCATGACAACTGACCAAGACTCTCTCGCCTCGTGGAGCTCTCTCTGGGACCAAGGACTTAGACCGTTTATTACGTATCAAAACTTAACCAATTACAAAGAAGTTTAAAGACATAGGGCGTAACCTTCACACATTCAACTTGCATTCGTGACATGAGTATGATTACAATATTGAACCAACAATAAATTGTCTAACGTATATTTTGCAGCCTCCAGGTGATGATTGCAATGGACACGGTACACATTGTGGTGGTTCTGCTGCCGGTGTCACTGTCGGCATTGGCACGTCTGCTCGATTATATAGCGTTCGAGTTCTGAACTGTATGGGTGCTGGTTCCTGGGCCAATTGTATTGCAGGTTTGCTATTCATCCCTTTTTTGACACTCACACAAACACATGCATTAAAAACGTGTTTTCTTATACCCAATTGTGGGTGCATTTTGCGTTATTGAGTATTGCGATGATCTCGCTGAATTCCGCTTATGTAGTGGAACCGTTTATGTAATCCGAGCGTTCACTGTGTTCTGCGGCGCTATTGATTGGAGGGACTAGTACTTTTAACAGGCTTTATTTGCAAATGGCCGCCGACATCTCATTGGGCGCGAGAAAGTCACCTGACTTGTTTTTTTCTATTCAATTGCGTTATTGGTGGAAATTATATTATATTATAATGCTGTACATATTTACATACAGGATGTGACTCCGTGACTGCTACGGGGACACGTCCAGGAGTAAGTTCATTGTCACTTGGGGGAGGTGCTCACCAGGGCATGGACGATGCTGTTACACGGATGATTCAAGCAGGTTTTGTTGTGTCCATCGCTGCGGGTAACGATAACCACGACGCATGTCTAAACTCGCCAGCCAGAGTTGAAGAGGTGAGTTTTCTTTCTGTAAAATAACACATCAGAACCGTTTTTATTAGTGCGATATATTATCTTCAGACTGGACAACAACAAATGATACGCCACATAAAACACGTTGTTATATACCGTAAACAGCACGTGACCTTTTTGTGTCACGTATCTGCTTAAAGGGCGGCGATCGTCGCGCTGCGCACGTGCGACATTTCCCCCTCCCCACAATGCGATCTTCTAATGGAAGCTATAAGTATGAGGTTTGACCTGGGCGCGACTTGCACTAATTACCTTCCAAGCACCTAAAAATATCTTATTAAAGCTTGATAACGTCTCAGTTTGTACTCGTTGTTTTGCGCAACAGTCAAAGTCGCCATCTTTTTTTAATATGAGACCCATATATTCGCACATGCGTGGCGCGACGACTACCGCCCTTTAAGGTATCGTAGCCAAAAGTATGTCATGACTGCGAGACCATAAAAAAAGACCATTACACGTTTTTATTTGTTTGTTTGGGCGTCTGTTACTCCTGCAACTGTACTTTTATTTACTTCATTCCATGGCCAGGCTATTACTGTAGGTGCAACAGACGATACTGATACAAGGGCTTCATTCTCCAATTACGGCCCATGCGTCGACATCTTTGCGCCCGGAGTAAGTGTACGAAGTTCATACCATCTGAGCGATACGTCTTACGCTACGCTGAGCGGTACATCAATGGCGTGCCCACATGTTACAGGTAAGGCACTATCAGTTCCATTTATATATATATAATACAGTTTGCACCAATTATCACAAATTATAGAATAATAAACATGATAATCATAAGGTTGTTTTTTATGAAAAGTATATTACAGTTCTACGTGGTGTTGAACTCGAATCCGGGTCGCCGCCATAGTGGTGCCGAATGTTCAATTATTATTATCAGCACTATAAGGTGGAAGGTTTTGAGTCTATGATTACATTAGTTGATAAGACATTTCAAGTCGAATAAGTGATTTTTGTATGTTTGCATAATTAGCTTAATTTATGTTGTTAAGTCGTCTACTCTACTAGTATTACTTAAAAATTTTTATTTCTCTCTCACTCAAGCTAAAACCACATATAACAGGGCATAGTCGTCAATGGCGATGTATGAGGGGGCGGGGACGTACAACGTGACTTTAATTACATATAATATTCACTTAAAAAATATGACAATATTATCATTGTAATTACAGGTGTATCTGCTGTTCATTTGGGAGCAAATACGTGTTTTAACAACACTGACTGCAAAGCGAAAATACTCGCGGAGGCTTCTGTGGATAAAGTGATCGACCACCAATCCCCGGACAACTTGTTACTTTACTGTGATTGAGTCACTCTACGAGTTGTGGGTGATTCGAATATTTACGGTAAGCACCACACGAAATGTTAACGGGCGTTTCGCGACGACTGTTTTTAGTCGGGAATAACAACTATTACGGTTGCGACGTTTTATTTGTCCTTCTAAATTAAACAAAACGCGAAACACAGGAGTGAACAATAGTAACATAAACTATATAAGAGTCGTCTTTGTGGATGTTGCTTTCGACCATATCGGGAACATGTGTATGATCAAATGTTGCCAAATTTTGTCTCGTCACGGTATTCAAATGTTGTCTCGTCACGGTATTCAAATGTTGTCTCGTCATGATATTCAAATGTTGCCAAATGTTGTCTCGTCACGGTATTCAAATGTTGTCTCGTCATGATATTCAAATGTTGTCTCGTCATGCTAATAAAATGTTGTCTCGTCATGGTATTCAAATATTGTCTCGTCGTGGTATTCAAATGTTGTCTCGTCATGATATTCAAATGTTGTCTCGTCATGCTAATAAAATGTTGTCTCGTCATGGTATTCAAATATTGTCTCGTCATGGTATTCAAATGTTGTCTCGTCATGGTATTCAAATGTCTGGTCGTGGTTATCGAATGTTGTCTCGACTTGGTATTCAAATGTTGTCTCGTCATGGTATTCAAATGTTGTCTCCTCATGGTGTTCAAATGTTGTCTCGTAATGGTATTCAAGTGTTGTCTCGTCATGGTGTTCAAATGTTAACTCGTAATGGTATTCAAATGTTGTCTCGTCATGGTGTTCAAATGTTGTCTGGCCATGGTATTCAAATGTTTGATATGTAAACATTCCGAGGACAAATTTAGCGAATATAACGAGACTATCCATGAACAAGTGTCAACTTATACATTATTAGTCGCACAGTCAACGCGTACCCACCACACAATATAACTTACCAGAAACAATTTTTTGGGGAGCCTAACAACATACTTTTTGTGTTTATTTGCAGGCTAATGTTATATTTGCTGTGAAACGAAATCGTCATGGAATGCTGACCAATATGCAAATAAGTACTTCTAATTAATAAATAAAAAGTCATGGAAAACCTCAGTATGAGATGTTTGTTTTGTGGGATGAAATGCATTGAAGGTTGAATTTGTAAGAATTTGAATGGTCAAGTTTGAGAGATTCATATATCGTGTGTGCTTGGCTAAACACTTTTGGGGATAAAGATTTCCTGAAACTTTGCTGAATTATTTGTTTGTGATTAGTTATATCAAATTCCATTGAACACGAGTATACGAACTATTATATGAAATGTGAACTTGACATGTAAATAGTAAAGTTTAACGTAAAAAAAGAAATCGCAAAGTCATTGTTTCAATAGAAACTTGTTCAGGTAGCTCCGATTTTTATTGATCGTTGTCTTTTATTTGATGAAACCTTTCACTCTGCAAAATATAACGAATCTATAATGCCCTTTGTAAAATGTCCATATTTCCTAAGCCACGTTTTTAATTCACTCAACTAGTATAACAATTCTGAAAGGTTGCGGTCAAATCTATTATTATTTGTAATGTCACGGACCAGGGTGGTATTGTCAGTGGTGAAATTGTCTCTTCACGGACTTACAGGAAACGGGGCAAGATATAATAGTTGTCCCAAGAAAACTCTTCGCTGCCGACTCTGAGTGTACCCAGGAAGTTTATAGAATAAGATGAGATAGTAAATGAATAATGCATACAATCAAGTTATTCTGACAACACATATTTATCAAGCAACAGAAAATAATACGGGTATATAATAACATGAAGAGATTCACTGGTGCATAGTCGTTAGACTTGGCGAAATGGCGTAAGCCGGGTTGCAGGACTACCACGAAATAAACAAGAGACTTATGCAAGTCTAACTCAACACTCAAAGTACAGAGTATACCTTCGACTGTATGACTGGCGTCTGGCAATTCTAGCCGTTCAATAACACTTTTTCTAACTGTTGTGCAGTTCAAAACGATCTTATGTTTACTTGAGTTATATATCTAGGAAACTGTCAAAATGATTTTCATCTTGTTTTTGCTACCGTGGCTGATTAATACAAATAATTGTACTGGATGCTACGGGACACAAGAGTACTGTATTACAGTACTCAGTGTGCCTTCACATAATCTAAATGTCGACGATTTGTCAGGAACTTCTGTGACATACTCAACTTATTTTATGCAACTCGTGATAACAATATGTAGTCACAAATTGGCAATTAGTGCACTGTTCCATAGTTCTGCGCGCTCTAGCTTCTGTGACGTCAAAATAACGTGTGTTTGGTTGTGCAGTCGTCCGTAATCCAGATTATACAATCATAACCGGCCAACGAACCCGTGCGTGATCGTGTTAGGAAAAGCTGTATTTCACTGCAGTTAAACTGAGTCATTTGATTGAGCGCGTCAAGAAGCTGGCTCTACCAATCAGCGTTGCTGTATCATAAATTTGAAGATCCGGGGGTCATCACAGATTTAAACAAACCGGCGTAAGCTCTGCGCTGATTCACCGGACGGGAGTCAAGAACAGAAGGTCTATGTTCGTTGACACGTTTCCAATTTTTGTTATTCCAACGTTGAAAATTGTTTGCGAACAAGTGAATGAAGACTATGGAATGTTTAAATATTTGTGCAAACCGTGTTTTAGTAAACAAAACTGTCGAAACAGATAACATGTTGACTTGTCCGATCCGTTCTTCGTTGCAACTAACACATCATTTCCCTTAGTGGTTATATTGTTCTCAAAAACGAGATGCATCATGGGATTGTCGCAATTCACAAGGAGTGCACCGCATTAAGTGTGGCCTTATTTATTTCAATAACAACACCTCGTGTCTAGATATTTTGGTTTTTGAATATGTCTTTAGATGCACTATGGGAGTATCACAATGCATTATGGGAGTACCACAATACTGATTTAAAAGAAATCATGTATTTGCTATAGTATCACGTCTAGATTCACACTTATATTTATACCATCTTTGGCCGTAGCATAGCAACCACATTTAATTTTAAACCAACGTTTATTACGGCCATACAATCTACTTTGGTTTTACTGTTACAGGCTAACAAATGAGTACCGATGGATTCATGCACAAAAATAACGTCACATCCAAAAATCGCAAACAAGTCATGAACTTGAAAATACAAATGGAATAGTACTAACAATTTCGGAAAGGCTGAATGCAACACACGAACAAATAAATGAAATATGTAAAAGAAAAAGTGAGTGTCGATTTGGCAGAGTGGGGTTCTCCACGACACTGGTTATGTCGTACCAGTATCGCTTATGGAGGGTTAATCACAAGCTTTAGTCTCGTATGACACGATCCCACTACGCCACGGCTCACCTGATAACATTGACAAGTGAATATGTATTCATACTTTACTATTAGCATGATGACAGCAATGTACTCTGTTGTGCAATCTCTGATATGAATTGCCGTGGAGGGCGTTTGGCTGTAAATGCCAGTATTGTAGTGACATTCGCACAAATTGTCGTAATACAACCTACGCACATGGCAGGATGAGAGACGACAACTGATTTTTGATTTGTTATACACAAAGACATCATCACGTGGGAGAACAAGAGAAGGTGGCACCAAAACGTACGAGTTCACCCTGCAACACCTACCAAATTAAAGCGGGGGAGTCGTCACCCGCACATGTGTCAGATGGCCATAGCGTGTCATTGTTTACAAATAAGCGTCTACCCATGAGCCTTTGCGTTTTTAGCGTGTGTTGTTTTCGTCGCTTGGGACTCAATTCCCGCGCGTGCGCAGGTGACGACCCTCCCGCTTTAATATGTACTAGACACAAATAGTCACGTGATATCCTCAAATGATGTCAACACTTTAATATATTTTGTAAAACATTTACTGAAACTGACGTGTTTCATGTATCTTTGTAACTATAGACAATCGCCGGTCTTATTTGTCTATTTTGGCTTTTCACGTTATAGCGGGCGGTATAGATCGCTTTCGTTTGACCAGCCAATAACTCTGCATAACTATTCATTAAACAAAATATCAGCAAGGACAAGCCTCATTGTTTATCAACTGTTTTAACTGAAGGCATTTATTTAATCGTGTACTAGCAGGTCTACAGGAAGGTTTCAAACTAATGAAACTTAGCATTATTTCTAACTGTTGTCAGCCTCGTATACACCACGAACTGACTCGTCTGTTCAAGATATCTCTGATGAGAACACACTTTCTCAATGTCTTAAAACAGAGTAAGTTTCAGTAAATCTCTTACAGAAAATATTTTAATGTTGACCTCGTTTGGGAAATTGCGCAACAAAGCGTGTCCTGGTTATTATCAGACAATTTCGGGGAATAGAGCTGCAAGAAAAATGTTGCTGAATTTACGACCAGTGATTGCCAACAAGCGCCCTCAACGACCACATTCGATATGAGATTTCACAACAGAGTACATTGCTGTCATCATGCTAATAGTAAAGTATATATATATATTCACTTGTCAATGTTATCAGGTGAGCCGTGGCGTAGTGGGATCGTGTCACACGAGACTAAAGCTTGTGATAAACCCTCCATAAGCGGCACTGGTACACATAGCCAGTGCCGTGGAGAACCCCACTCTGCCAAATCGACACTCACTCTTTGGAAGTTTCTGACATTCACGTTGTTGTTCTCTAATATATGCTTTTCTATTGATATTTCTGTTAGAAAAAACAAATACACGGGATCGCTGAAATGTTTTTGTTTTTTTTATTCTGTAATGCATGTTTACACTTCGGAACCAAAACAGGACTGATGACATTAACAATCTTTAAAAAAAACAAAAACAAAAACACATTAAACACTTTTAAATTAGCTACATCCTGGATAAACGTAATTACAGATTGGCCAACTTAACTGAAATAACATGCTAGCTAAAAGACATGTTATACAGTAGTTGATGTTTCTTTCAGTATATTAACAACACCATTATGATGGTATAGATCTTTTAGGCGAGATGCATCATGGGATTTCCATAATGCATCATGGGAGTACCACGATACAAATGTGATATTATTTATCAAAATAGCAGTAGCTCGTGTTGAGATTTATTTCTTTTTGAATATCCTTCGGATGTACCATGGGATTGCCACAATGCATCATGGGAGTACCAAAATACAGAACACCTTACACACAAACAATTTGTATCATGTTTGAAGCATAGAAAATAGAAATAAAAATAATACAGAAGATACCGGGAAGGCTGGCAGTAACACACAACAAAATCTATAAAACCGAAAAAGTGAGTGTCGATTTGGCAGAGTGGGGTTCTCCACGACACTGGCTATGTCGTGCCAGTGTCGCTTATGGAGGGTTAATCACAAGCTTTAGTCTCGTATGACACGATCCCACTACGCCACGGCTCACCTGATAACATTGACAAGTGAATATATATTTATACTTCACTATTAGCATGATGACAGCAATGCACTCTGTTGTGCAATCTCTGACACGAGTTGCCGCAGAGGGCGCTTGGTTGTTAATCGCCAACTGTAAATGCCAGTCAGTATTCTAGTTATATTGGCATAAATAGTCGTACATGGTGGGTTTTTCCTGCGACACAAATTGACATGTACTGGATACAAATAATCACGTGATTTATCAAACTATATTAACACTTTAATATGCTTTGTAAAACATTTACTGTATAGTCTGACGTGTTTCTTCATTGCAAATGTTTTAGAGTTTCGTGTAAGTTGTCATGACGCTATACATATCTCACGTCAACATATTGAGACGATTACAAAATCTCGTAATTTGTGAGAATTTGTTTTCAAAATTGTTTGCGTCAAATCGAGAAATCGTTTGCCGAATCCAAGATCTCAAAATCTGTTTTTGATACGCCTTGTGACGACAACACCCACATCAACGACTAACATTTTAAATGATTTTGCCCCTATACGGGAGAATGTACTCTTTAGCAAACCTCGGGCGCAATAGTTCAACGAAGAATTACTTATTATGCTACGGAATGTGAGAAAACTAGAGCGGAAGTGAAAATCGTCTAAGTCAGTTATCGATCTGGAAATATTTATCGCCCGCTTGGAGTTTTGTCGTTGGGTGGATACTATGAAAGCCGTCTTTTCTCGTTGCTGAATCGATAAACGAAATCGTCGACGATCCTTTTACTATTATCAGGGAATTTACAGGATCGATGAAAACGCACAGCATTAAAAAACTACTACAATGATTCTCACCAGTGAGCTGAGTATTTCAATGACAGAATCTCTAATCGATTGCTGCATGGTTCCATCTTGACCAGTAAAAGTTGAAACTTGCCATCAATTGTTTGACACGCTAGACCGCACTATTTTACTCAACAGTCCTTAATCACGGTTCGGAACCTGTGGTAATGTTCATAATTGGGTAAAATCGTATTTCTCTAATTGTTAGTAGTGTGTAGAAATGGAATTCTTATCTTCGATATCTTTAACTTATTTATGAGTTCCGTATGGTTCCGCATTATAGGACCAAGTCGTTTTAATTTGCACACAACACCACTTGTAAATATTATTATACTAGTAAATACAATTGATGGTTACATTACTAAATTCACTTCGTACAAGAAGGACGCCTCGTTAGTGCCTACTGCATCTCAGTGCGTGCATCTCAGGGTCATTTAAAAACATATTTTTACACCATTTTATTAATCCTATTTTTATTGTTATTTCAACTCTGTGCATTGAATTTGTAAGTGTTTGTGTAATTATTCACAATTAGAAAAGTTCAATATAATAATATTTTTATGTTCCTTTCCGAGTAGTAGCGCTTTTTGTGAACAACGTAACTTTGTTGTTATATGCATTTTATATTAATGTTCATAACGCTGTAGGCTGGAAGTTTGTGTTTCGTCTTTGTTTTTTTATTTCACATTTGTTTTTATCTACGTTGAAATAACTACAGACCGACAATCAATTGGACAGTCTTGACAGCCTGTAATTAGAAAACTACAGCATAAATCGAGAAGAAGGTTATTTGTACATTATCTGTCACACACACACAAAAACTGCTCACAAAAAACAACAGTCCGGAATGAATGATGCGGACTCGGAAATACTGTAATAGCGTGAAACCGCTTTATATATTTTTGACCTACGAAATTGGCCATCAGGTTGTTCGTTAGGCACATGCTGCACGGCATATGTACCATTATCTAAGCTTTCAGATGATATATAGTTTTGTATTGTAGTATGCGTAGACACTTATACACAATATCTGAATCACAGCTGTTTCCATGTAGCTACTTTAAAGCGCGGTGGTTGTCGTGTTCGAATTTCATGTAAATAAACAATGTATTTTACACGCGTTGTATACGTCGCTATGAGTCCCATATCGAACAGGGCGCCGCACGACGACTCCCGCCCTTTAAAGTGTTTACCTCACTTTGAATTATGAATTGAAATATCTCATCTAAAATTTACACCGATCTTCCGCAAGACAACAGGACACGTGAGTGTTGAAATACAATGCTTTGTAGAAGTTTAAACAAACAGGTTCTTACAACAATCTTATTACATGGACTTTACATATATTCAGTGTATCCCGTAAATTTCAAACGGAAATACTGCATTGTTTTGTGGAAATCTTGGGTTTAGACATTTTCACAAGGTCTGGCAATTAGTCTGTCATGAAACGTTTATTTAAACAACTCGGTAAACAAATGACTAACTAGTTTGTTCAAATGTACTTCTCTATATCCAGGCTTTTAGACAATATATGGTAAATGAAGGTTTTGAATGAGATAACAGACAGAGAATTCTTTATTTTAAAAAGTCTAAATACGCTTCTCACCCAGTCTCTCACAATGTACGGTTGAGCAGGACTTGCTACGTTATTGACACGTATTGCTCTGCATCCAGAATGAATAGGGTGTGATTATTAAATCATATGTGAGCGTGAAAATTTGTGAAAGATGGTCATTATTTTTAATATTATTTGTACTATGTTATATAGATCATATATATACAATTTAATGTACAAATGGTACCCGCGTGGGAAGGTGTTGCAGTATTTTTTTCATTTTTTTCATGGTCATTTTAAAAATCAAAATTCTATGTTTTCAAGTTTGTTTTATCATATATGCAACCTAAAGGACGCCACCTACGTTTGAAAATTGAACCGTTGTGAGCACTTTGCGAAAACGAATGGATTATATCCATGTGTGTATTTATTCCTTTTCTGCGTTGTATGCAATATATTAGACCCTGGTTGAATCCAGGGTTGACATTGTTGTATGTAGTCAACATACATACAAAATTAAAAAAAAAAGGCGTTTGCAAAACATTAACATGACAATGACTAGTAATTAAAGCCACAGTGATTAATTTGGGTACAGATTCATGGTTTTTTCTAGTGTCTTTGGTTTTTCTAACTTTTCCATTGATTGGTTGATCTCAAGCTAACTTGCTATAACGATAGCACACCCACCAGTGTGTCGAAATATTGATGTAAGGCGTTGTGATTGGCCCGGTTTAAGTTTGATTTGGGATTTTTGAAACTTTTTCAACGAACATCCGATTAGACGTACGGCATCGGTTCGACATAGCAAATAAATATGATTTTGAAAATTGAGTAATATACTAGAATATCTGCACCAATCGGTGACAAGAGTTCAGCAAGAAGAACGATGGGAATAAATCCCGGATAGAAATCCGATTTGAAATTAAAACACGCATAGTCATATTAATCGAGCACCACAATAGCTTATTGTTTATAGAAAAAAAAGAAAGTTTAAATAAATCTTTTTTTTTTAAACATTGAATTGAAAATTAGTGTCTAGACTATTTTTGTCCCATTCCAGTGTGAATACCTGGTTGGGTTGGGTCATTAAACGTCAAGATATATTAACATATAGTCATGTGATCAATTCTGACCAATATATATCAGTCGATTCAGCAGTGCAGGCATATCGACCTTAGCTTGTCAGATTTCAAGATGGCGGCTGATGGCACTACTTCCCCTGAAATAGTTCGTGGACAAATATTTGACGTTGGCCCGCGGTATACCAACTTGGCTTACATTGGGGAGGGAGCTTATGGCATGGTTTGGTAAGTTTTCAGCTTTATTCAGTTGTGCATTCGACCTGCCGGGCTCTGAAAAGCTACAAGCGGCACGCCCTCCCAACCACACTCCGAGTCTGAAGAAGGATTGGCAATCCGATCCGCGTCCTGTGTTGGTGACGCACTGTGTTTTGCTTAAAATTCAACCCTGTCCCATCAATCGACGCGCAACTTATGGGCATGTCCATCAAATGCTCAAAATGTCATTGACGTTTGTAGTTCATATTTAACAAACTGCGTTTGACTTATTTTCTCATCATGACTGGGGTGACCCCGATACTACTGGGAAGGACAGCTTGCCTTGTTATTGGCTGATCTGATCGTCATTGACTTTTTGAAGTCTAGAGAGCTTGGAAACGACCCAATGTAAAAACAAACAACCATATCACCGTGCTGTGATCGTAAGTCTTTCTGAAAAACACAAAATGACGTAACTAGTGCAGCGTAACACTGTCATGTTTGTCAAATATACGAAATGCTGGCGAACGCGAATGACTTTCAGTGACGGTACTGGGAAAGTGTAATCTAAACGAGATAACTGCTACCTGCGTGCAAACACTGTAACGGCGTATTTGATCGTTAATCTCAATGCCTGGATATCTGGAATATAATATATTGATGTCGTCTTGCATTGTTACACGGTATCAGTAATATTTTAGATCTTGAGGGGTAGAATTAATATGTAAAAGCTTTCCAAGGTACCCTCCAAGACAGATTAAAATTGCGTTCCCAGGGTGGAGAAGGGGACCGTTCACAGCAAGATGCAGTAAATCACATAATAATATCAGGGAAGAATGATATAAACATTTTTGAGTCTGTGAAAAGCAGTGACACAAGTGTATGCGCTAATAAGGTTGATTCAATAAATAGAATAAATAAATAAATAGATTTTTTTTTGTTCAAATGAAAATAAAGACGTAACATTTACCATGATATGATCTAGTATCAGTAGATTAAGCGAGAATTTCACACGAACATCGACAGTGTGGTATCTGATAGTACTTTATAAAAGATTCCCAAAAATAATGCTGTTACATCCAAGATGGACGTTCACAAATCTAGACACTCCCCGTTTTTTCTCCCAAAAACTATATTATGCATGACTGTTGTTGGATTAATATACACGCTATTAGAAATAAAAAAAAATAGGAGAATCGTCGTGCATCTGGCTAGCTTGTACTGACTCTGGGCAAGCAGCTTTCGAATCAAAAACATGTAAATCAAATTCTTACTGTACCCAGTGTAGATCAAATTATGAGAAAGCCGGTCTGTGTTGACACCGGCATGAATGAGAAAACATGTGAATGAACAAACAAAAGTCGAGAAAGAAGTGCAAAAACATCACCCTGTTAATTCTGGTGATCTACCAAAATATGACATAAAATGCAGCATGAATACACAACATTACAAGTGAAAATAACCTCAATACCCTGGACAAGTTATTACTTGTGTTTCTAGACTTTATGAGAACCCAAGGAACGTTGTAATCACTACACCCGCAATGATCATATTGAGTGCACTCATGGGTTGTTGACCTGCCGATACTGTAAATTTTGTTAGTGATTGGTTAACCCAGCGTTCCATACTGTTCATATGCAAACATTTGCAGACGAGCACCCAGTCAGTGTTGAAAATACCGATCAATAAATGCAGCAAACAGAACACAGTTCATGGGCTTTTCAAAATAAAAACAATACACTGCCATTGCACGAGACATGGTGATCTTTTTTGAAACGCGTTTAAAAGTTAACATAAAAGACGAAACATGTATTTTAAGTACATCAATCCTTGGCATCCAGAGTATTGGCACGTTGCAACTATTGCAAAATTACAAATTTACTGTTCTTAAACCAACTTGTTAGATTTTCTGTTATTCTATAATTTTTATTATGAAGTATTTTTTTCTTAATTTGCATATTGACAGTGGAAAAGTATGTTTTCAAGGGTGCGACTACTCTCCATGCTAGTCGGCGCTTCTTCAAATCGCCTCTGCCACAGTTTGATTATACATTTATGCAAATCAAGGGTCAATGGTAGGGTCAAACCCCAACTACTAATGTGCTTAAATATGGCAGAGTTCACGGGAACTTTAAAACGTACTCTGAATGAATAAAATTCTGACGTGGAATTGAAACCAAAGCACATGGAAGTTATGGAAAGTGGGTATGGCCGCCGTCTTGTATAAACTTGCGTATTAATGTGTCAAATCATAGCGTGAAAAGTCACATGTGGCAGAGGTGTTAACCTACCAGCGCTATGAATTCTAGGATGGAGAATGATCCATTATCTAAAACATCGTCCTAAGGGATACAAAGTTGTCAAATTACAGTACATGTCTTTGAAATATAACCTTGTATGAAAATTTAGCACATGCCTGAAGTTGGTTTCTGGCATGTTCTGTTTGTAGTTCGAGGGTTGTCTCAATTGAGCTGCATCCGCTATAATTGAGCCTCCATATATTTTCATACTTGTATCTGTAAGTTTCTGACTTGACAAAGCATGGAATCTGTTGGCAATATTTCTGAAAACTTGTTGATATCGACTGTTGGTTGGTGATTTTCATAGAAATGCAATGTATAAGTGTTGGGGGCAAGCTGAAATGTTTTCTGCTCTAGATTGAGCAGTCGTATTTGGGCAATGGTTACCTTGAACATGCTCAGGAATCGAGTCCCAAGCGATGATAACACGTGCTAAGAATGCAAAGGCTCATGGGTAGACGCTTGTTTGTAAACAATGACATGCTATGGCCATCTGACGCATGCGTAGGTGACGACTTCCCTCGCTTTAAATTAATTTTTGCTTACTTGCTTGTAGGGGAAATAAACTGTGAGTATCAATAATGAGTATCTACTAAAATCTCTGTATACAGTATTTTTGGCATACCCAATCTGCAGTGACCTTAAGTTTTTGGATGCCAATGTCAATTATTATAACCATTCACAAATTATTATAATTTTTTCAAAATTTTAATAGGAAATTATTCTTTGGTCCAAAATTCTCAAAAAATATTAAAAATAATGCATAAAAGCAGACAAATTGTTAAGTAAAAATATGGCACTTAAAAGATTTAAGAGGCATGGCTTAAAACATGCCACATCAAACTTAATCTCTTCAGTTTAGAGAGTCGGTTGAAGGTCCTTTCAATTACTGTCTACAAAAATCAGGGTTTCATTTTTTTGCACTTTTGTTTAGAAGAACAGAAAGGTTTTATGAAGAGATTATGTTTGAGTGCACATGTTTTAATTATTCACGACCCCTAATACGGAGTGGAATGTTCCGTGTCATCCCCATCAGACATGCTCCATTGGAAGGCTATTTACTGATTTTGTTCCATCAGTTTTTTGTGCACTTACAGAATCGACAGGTTTGTTTGTGTTCAAATTGACTATAATTCTTTTCACCACTAGTTATCTCTTTTCAGCACATTTTCACAAAATAGTCCCGTTTATAGTCTGCCTTTTACTTTAGAAGATTGGGACAAAAATGGTTGCGTTTTTCGAATGAAAACTGAAAATTCACTAAAATTTTGTCTGTTGGCACCAAATTTAGGGTTCGTTCCTAGAAATATTGATGCTTATCGCGAGCTAGTAGGAAAAACAACAAAACAGTTTCGTAGAGATTTCAGTTCATTTATTTTGAACTAGAACTCAAGTCATCGATGTAGACAAGATGTCAAACACGAAAACTCCATCTTTGAGCTAGTTCGGTTGAAATATGCATACCGGTAATCAATTTTTGGTAATCACTTGAAAACTTGATTGGTTAGATGATCGTCGCATGAAGGGGCAGAGAAATATAAGAATATTTTTGCTTTGTGCATTGTTGCGTCCAGTAGATTTTTGTTGTCACTTTCCAATAAGGCAGATTGTGAAATTGAACTGCGTGTTTTGGGAAATCACGCCATCAACCATTGATGGCAATTTCCCATGACAGCATTTAAATTCATTTGCCTGTTCAAATTTTTCAGCAATCGCCAGTTGGCAAGTAGGCATTTAATTAATTCAGTCTCATTGGCGATCATTTGTCGTTTTGGTGAGGTCTGTTCTAGCATATAATAAATACAAATAATTTCCTCTTCCAATAGAGCATCACATATGGTTATTTGACAACGCGCCCACTTTTTCAATGTCTGTGGTTCTGTTTAACTTTATTTTTCTAATACAGTACTCGTCCAACTTGGCACTCAAGAGTACTCGGCTCACAAAATCATGATTTTTAGGGGGTGGCTGCTTAGTTGAGCACCACTTTTGTGCAATTTACCGGGAATTCCCAAAGGCATTGTGGTAATGCAATGTGGAAGTGAATTATCAACGTCAAAGTAAGATCTGTTGAAATTGATTTCAGCAAGAAATAACATAATTTGTAATTAGCAAATTTTTAATTGAACTGAATATGTAATTAAGTATTTACTGCTTTTCACGGTTGAGTTGGAGTATGGTAATTTAATTTCTAGCGCATTTTCATTTCACCCTACTGTGAAATACTTTATTTTAGTGTATGTAAAATCAGTGACTGTGTATCTTGTTTCTTGACGCATGGAGCCGGGAACAGCCACTGGTGGCACTGTATACAATCAAGACCTATTTTGGCTTGCCGTAGCTTATTTAGATTTCATTGTAAAACAAAAAAGGAGTTGTTATATTTGTTGGCCAGTTTAGTATGATAGAAAGTGTTTAGTCTTCAAATAACCACAATAAAGTGGTAGTCAAGACCGAATGTACTTGATTCCGGCATTTCTATTAATTTCACTTTAAAATAATATTTATAAGCTATGTCATAACTTCGTTAAAGGTTATTAGCATATTGTGTACGCAGTGCGCATGCTTTGGGCTCTTTTTCTGTATTCCACAACGCATGCGTCATCACAGTGAGATCAGTTGAAATTAACATTGCATGTAATGTCGCGTTCAGCATCTTCAAAGTGTTCATCACATTGATGGTGCTGAACGTTGTATTCAGATTTGAAGCCCTCACATAAGCGACGCTAC